CTGAGCAAGTGAGGAGGCTGCACCATGCAGGAAATGTCTTGGATAAAATAGTCCTAAATTTGTCCCAACCTTCTGGGTGCCCTACATAGTTAAATATGCAAAAACCTGAGCTAGAGAAAATATGGTCAGCATCCTATGTAGTAGGCATGACACTTGAGGGAACATACATTTAGGAATAAGAGAAAGGGGGTTTCAAAGATTCTGCCTTCCTGCAGAAAGCAATGTTCCTAAACAAAACAACCAAAGCAACTAGCTGGTGAAGGAATGAGTCTCTGTGTCCCACAGGCATAGAAGACGTAATGCTAGATATGCTCTCGTATGTTTATGTGGCTTGGCTCTTATTTTGAATTGAACTTTTGATTAAATTTTATTTATTTCCTCCTCTACGGTCCCATAGAACCTGGTACACATTTGAAATATTGTACTAAGAACACTATCTTGCAACTGGGTTATAGCACGTTCATCTGTCTACCCTATTATGCTATGGCATCCCTAATGTATTTTTTAATTAAAATTTTTTGGGGTGACAATGGTTAGTAAAATTACATAGGTTTCAAGTGTACAATTCTGTCATACGTCACCTATATATCACATTGTGTGTTCACCACCCAGAGTCAGTTCTCCTTCTATCATCATATATTTGACCTCCTTTACTAATATATTTATTTATCCCAAATGCTTAGCACAAAGTTTGCCGCATTTTAAATATTTAATGCGCTTCTTTTTAAAATAGGTGAATGAGAAAAGGACCATGGTAAGAGACACATTAAACTCCTCATTATCTCATTCTCCATAGGGAGAATGACAATAAAGTGAGGCATAGGGAGTGTCTCAACCTTTCACGTGGCACTACCTTATTACATAATAATATTCGCAAGTGCACTCTGTGTCCGACAGAGGGCAAATTAGAGCAAACATTTCCTACATGGCCGATTTGCTAGAAAAATGCCTAGAGGATGAAGCAGTTGCCTAAAGTTTAACAAAACCCTGTTGACCCCTAATCTCTCAGAAGAGATTAACTGGCTTTCTTAGTAGATGTGTAAACTCCTTGTTGGAGCCAGCTGGACTCATTTCAGACTTTATTTTGACAGGGCTTAAACTAACAGGGAGCAAGGACTTCTTTTTTTAAGGCGCTATCAATGTAACTCTTTTACGGACTGTTTCATATAATATGTATCCCCAAATCAGTGGGCTCAATTAATTCTCCTCATTCACTCATGAGCTAGAGATGCCAGTCTTCTCTAGGGTGTCTGACAGAGTGGAAGACCATCTGCCTCAATCCTTTCCTTAAATTCGTCGTGACCTTCCAAGCCCTGTGGGGCTCTCAGAGGATAGAACGAGCTAAAAGCTTAAGAATTCTAGGAGCCAGTGTGTTCCAAGTCAACTCTATATTTACTTTTTATGGGGCCCAGGGTGTGTGTGAGAAAGAACAGGCAGGGAACTGACACATGCACAGGTGCTCCTGAGCTTACTATAGCTTTTGTGTGTTTTAATTCTGTATTTATTGTTTGCTCTAAGGTCTTGGTAGAGTAGAACCCAGGTCTGGGTATATGTAAAAGAAAACAGGTCTGAGTATCAAGAACTTAGTTGCCAACAGCTAAGGTAAGTAAACATGACCAGCCATCTTATCTTGCTAGGTCTCAATTTTGTAACTCTGTGAAATGAACATATTGGAACTGGTGGTATTTATATTTCCTTCCAGCATTCTAATTGTAAGAACTCCATGCCTTATTTTACAGAACGCCAAACTATTTTGAGCCATGGTCTTTAGCAGCAGCCACTCAAGCTATCTATCACTTGGTATCGCAATGACAAATCAATCTGGGTGACTGTGCTTCCCAGTTCCCTCCAGCCTTGCATTTCCTGTTGACTTTGGATAAAGGAATTGTGTTCCTCAGCTATGTTGTAACCTTTTGGCTTAGACACTGGTTTAAGGGGATTGACGTACAATGACAGCCCTGTGGAGGCTGATAGTGGGGGGTCACATGGCTCCTTCCACAGGGTCCTAAGGATAAATTCAGTAATTTCAAGTAGTCTGAGAAAATTTTGATTCCCTTTATGTTGGAAGATATTTTTTTTTCATGGCTATAACAATACTCAAGTGTTTTACAATTAAGAGGAGTAATTTCCTTCCTGATAATCTAGCTGGACAATCTCAAACTTCTAACTACTCCACTCGTTCAATTCTCCTTCCCCATCCCTGCTGCCTCCTCCCAGAGGTGTTAAAGATGCATCCTGTTTGGCTGAGAACAAGGGAAGGAAACTAACATTTCTACAATAGAATAGCTCTGGCCATGGATTTCAACCGGTGTCTACCTACAGGCTCCATACCACAGAGGAGTGAGCAGCTTGGTTTTGGCCGCCTCCCCTCCCATCCCTCCCTCCTCCTTGTGTTACATACACAGCAGGCCTGAGTGAACTGAAGACTCTGCTCTGGCGGAGAGAACTCCAAGCTCATTTCCTCATAGGACACCGTCACAAAGTGATATCTGATTGTGTGTCTCCTTCCTGGGCAGAGAGGTGGCCTTTGAACTCAGCCAAAGAGAGGAGCTGAGGGGAGCTAAGTCACAGGTTTCAGTCCTACAAGGACAGTTCACGTGGCTGTTTCCTGATTGTGGTTGATGCTTCGCCTGAAAATGTTGTGCCAAGGCACAGTGGGGATGGGGACATGGGGCGATGTGAGTGGATTCTGCGCCTGTGTGTGAGGAGCAGAAGCACCTTTCTCTGAATGCCTAGCCATCTTCCCTTGAATGCCCTTTAATGACACACTTCTAAGTTACAGTGATTATATCCATTTGACGAATAAGGAAACCGAGGCTCAGAAAGTTTATATAACTTGTCCAAAAGAGCAAGGAATAAAGCAAGGAATAAAATCTGGGTCTCCTCTGACTCCCACATCTATTTGCCCATTACTACAGCATGTGACTTCCCAAAATAACCTTCCCTCATTCAAAAGATTCCTCTTTTTGTGTGAAGCAAAACATGTCCAAAGAATGCCAGCATCTGAGAACAAAGAACAGAAGTGACAGCAGTCAATGCTGAATGACAAGTTTGACTCAGTCTCCATCCTTGAATTTATTTTAGTCCATTTGGGAAATATTTTTAATCATAGTCAGAAGAATGAAAATAAGTTTGAAGTTGAATTAACTTTTCTCCTGAACATGTTCCCGGCTAAATGTTTGATAAAAATTTCCCTCTCCTAATGACATGTGGGAGGTACTGGGAGGGTCTAATCTGCTTCTCCTATGAATGTGTCTTTCTAAAACCAGCTGGCTGTCTCACTGGTTGGTGGGCTGGAGCCAGCTCACACTGGCTCTGGCAAACTGATTGTCCCCAACTATTTCCAATCCTTGTAACTTGACATTAGTCACAGCGGGAGCATTTACATCATGGAAATCAGTAAACTACACAAACCAGTCCCTCCACTCCTGTTTTTTCTCCTGGAGGACTGGCTGTTAAACATTTATCCTTCTATCTCTGTCATTCTTAATCATAGATATCTGGTAATCTGACAGCATAAGTGATACGCAGTATTTCCAGACCGGGCTAGTTTTCCTAGGGATATTATTCTATGCCACTACATCAAGATAATGAAAACTGACAGAGGGGGTATAGTGTGCAAAATGTCCCAGACTATTAAGCCACTGTGAGCATAGGGAGTCTCAGAAACTTGGGGAACCCCTGTAAACTCTCTCCAGTACCCTCAGGAGGAGCCAGGAATAATTATTCTCTTGAGAATATTGAATAGAACAAGAGGAAAAAGGGGGAGGAAGGGAAGATACATTCACTGAGAGACTGCATTAAAATCTCCAAAAATATCTTTAACATCTCATGTAAAATCTCAGTGTAGAACATTTTTTATATATATAAAGAAAATGCTAGACTCAGGCTAATATGCCAGAGGAGCGATGAACTTTAATAGATGCACTGACATTAGGGTATGTGTGGGGTTGGTGCTGATCTGGTCAAACGCTCAGGATCCCCCGAAGCCACCTCTCTTTAGACATTTACGTTTCTGCTCAAAAAACATGGCTCCAACTCTCACACATGGCTGATGGGTGTAAAATGGTATCATCGTTTTGGAACACGGGTTGTCAGTTTCTAATGTTTCTAAATATTTTACCCAAGAGTAATAAAAGTTGTATGTACACACAAAGCAGCTTTATTCATAATAATCCCAAATGAGAGGCAACACAGATGTCCAGTAACAGGACATTTATGGTATATTCATATGTTGAAAGATTCCTCAGCACTTAAAAGGAACAAACTGTACAGCAAGATAGCTGTGTCTCAAAAACAGTAGTGGAGCGAAAGAAGTACAAAACAGTGCGTACTTTATGATTCCACATGCATGAGATTCAACAACAGGTAATACTAACCTGTGGTGATGAGAAGGGTGGTTGCTCTTGACTGGGGATGGAAGAATTCACTGGGAAAAGGTAGGGGAGAATATACTGGGGTGATGGAAATGTGCTAGCTCTTGACTGGAGTGGTGATTACAAGGTTATACATAGCTGTGAAAAATTCACGCAGCTCTACACTTACCGTAAATTGCGAGCCTTTTATTTAATGTAAATTAGACGTCGATTGAAATATGTATAGATTATATATGTATAAATGTAAATAAACACTCAAAGGCTTACATTTCTAATCTAATTAAAGGGTCTATTCCAATAAGCCTCAGCTCTTTGAATTTCACACTTTCTTTCTGCCCTACAAATGCGTGCACTTAGTGCTCTCAAAAATGTAGACTCAGGCTTCAGAGTGGATGCTACAAGTTGGAGCCTTGTGCAATCACTTCCCTCTAGATGGCCGATTTCCCATCACTGACACAAAAGGCCCCATTTGGTCATTCCCGCCGGGCCGCAGGAGAAAGTTGCGGGGGAACAGGTTCAACTCGGAGGGGAATTCCTCTCCTCCGCACACACGTTCTAGCGCCGGGACAGCAGCAGGGGTCACAGCCTGCAGCGCATGAATCAGCGCCCCCGCCAGGCTCCGCAAAGGCACGCCCCGCCCCGTCCGAGGTCGGAAGGACTCTCACCCTACAAAAAGAGGACACCCACCGCCGGCACCCAGGTCGGGCCGCCCTGAGTCTGGACTCTGCACACACGTCTCCTGCCGGCTCATTCTCGGGACCCCTCACCTCGCGAGCCACTGGAACCTGGACACCATGGACACTGCTGGTCCCCTCGGGCTGTTGCTTCTGCCTTTGCTCGTGATGGGGACTGCGCTGGGCACTGCTGTTCAGGGCCGGCCAGGTATCTCCGCCCCATCCAGGATCCCCTCTTAAGTCTGGGCTTCCTCCCGGCCCGGCCGCGAGGGCGCCCTGCACCCACGCTCTCTCTCTCTCTGCCCGCTTTGCCCAGGCCCCTGCCTGGGACTGGGCTCGCATGCCCCAGGGTGCACTTTTTATCCATGTAGGGACCCCTCTGCTCCGAAGCAGCGGGGTCCAAGCTCCCCGGGGATGGAACTCCCCGGGGGAACCGCGCCCTCGCCGGAGACGTGGCTGACCTCCTCCCGTCTCTCTGACTCCTTCTGCCCCTCCTGTAGGAAACAACGCGGAGGTCTGCCTCCTGCCCGCCGAGGTAGGACCCTGCCGGGCTCGGATCCCCAGTTTTTACTACGACAGGTACACGCAGAGCTGCCGCGAGTTCATGTATGGGGGCTGCGAGGGCAACGCCAACAACTTCGAATCCCGGGAGGCCTGCGAGGACGCTTGCTGGAAAATCGAGAGTAAGTCGCGGCGCGCACACCTCCGGAGCCCTGGCGCCGCTGCTCGCACGCACAGGGGCCGGCAGCAGCTCAGCGGACTTGCCCGGTCCCACTTTCTACAGCAAGTTTTAGTCTCCAGTATTAAGCAGGGCTCACTGGTGTTTTCAGTATCCCGAAAGGCATCACAGGTGTGCAACCACTCACATATATTATCTCTCTCCTAACTGGCATTTATCATAATTCCGAGCCTGTGCAGGCTGGGAAAGATTTCATCTTAGGGCAAAATAATGTAGGAGGTGCGACGGTATAAGTGCTTTTCTCTACTTACCATGAGTTCCAAACCTGTGGCTTTTACGCCTCCCTGAGAACATGTCCTCGTGTCAACTATCCATCCATCTGAAATCCTTTTAGTGGATTTTATTATTTAACTGTGAGTTAGCTAATTATAACCTTACTTTTGTCCCCTGACACTCAAACAGGTCTTTGTTAGTATAGGGAGAGAGTGGAGATACAGTATACTGTTTTCTATTATATTTTAATTATGTGTATTGTATCTGGGAAAGCCTGTCACAAAACATGGGGCTTTACCATTCAAGGAAGTGAACCAGAGGGAAACGTGTATTCCTTTGAATAAGTTATTTAAACTTCTTATGTAGGAACAGTCCGAACACTGCAAGAGAACAGTCTTTCTACTGAATCGCAGTTCAGTCAGGTCTGGAAACACTTAAAAAAAAACCCCAGAAACCTAAATAAGTGGATTAATGGAGAGTTTTTGGAGAATTACTATCCCAACACTAAATATAATGCCGGTTCCCACCAGTTGTTTCTGAAAATAACAGGGAAGTTTTGAAAGTAACACTAAGAAGGCTAATTTTTGACTAACATTGCTGTTTGCCCTCCTTTTTCTAGAAGTTCCCAAAATTTGCCGGTTGGAAGTCAGTGAGGGGCAGTGTGGTGAGCTCAGAGAAGCCTATTTCTTCAATCTAAGCTCCATGGCCTGTGAAAAATTCATGTCTGGCCGGTGTCACCACAGCGGGAATCAGTTCCCAGATGAAGCTACTTGCAGGGGCTTCTGTACACCAAAGAAACGTAAATACTGTTTTTATGGTGTTTCTATTTCATTTCTTTACTAAGACTTGAGAGTGAAAAAAAAAACCCATTCGATGTGGAATTAACATGGTTTGCATTTTGCTGATTTCATATATGAGACAATATTAATATTCACACTATTGCTTTGTGAGGGAGCATAATTCCCATTTTTACATATGAGAAGACAAGTTAGGAGACGTTAACGACTTGCCAAGTTCTCAGGGCTGGAAAGCAATCAATCCATGATTCAAGTTTTTGCTTCTCTTCTGCATTGTTTCTGGAGAACTATTTTTCATCTATTCAATTTACACATAAAAAATTACAGTACGTATTCATTAATGAATGCCATGACCTCAGGTTTGTATGGAATCAGTTGTATATATGAAATTGTGGACTATATATACACTTAAGATGGTGAGACTTGAAAATTTCTTCCTAAAGTTTTTGGTTAGATTTGTGTATCCTTTTGTAATTGCAAATTGCAGCACAAAGAGATTGCTATTCCTTTTTTCTCTTCTCCCCATTTCTTATCTACACCCCACCACAGTCCCTGAATTGATGGGTTACTTGGGTAGTATTTAATATTTGTAGAGAGAGACAATACAGGCATTTTCCCTAGGCACAGAAGAGACATATACACATAGGTAGATAAATAAATTCAACAAACAAGGAAAATTTGCCTTGGCAGAGACTTTGATAAAAGCTCTACAGCTATACTGCATTGAATATGCAAAATCTTGAATTAATGAGGAGATGGTTGTTGCTGGTGTTTTCTTAAATTGTTTGTGTTAATGTTCCAGTGACTACCTGGGAATTAGATATATGTATATGGGAATTAGATACATATATACTTGATTAATAATGGAAGGAGAACTGATAAACATATTTAAAATAAAACCACCAACATAAGAAAGTTTACTAAGCATGTCATATATTATCACTTAAAATGTGATATCTGTTTTTTGTTGTTGTTGGTTTTTTAACCTGACCATATCTGTTTTGGGGGTTTAATTTGTTTACACAATCAAATGATACAAGGATATAGCTTCCGAAGAAGTTCCGTCTGGGGTATAAATATTTAGAATTAACAAAATATAGCATGTAAGCTTTCTTGAAATTTGAGGCACACTTTTTAAATGGTTGAGGTTGATATTTTGGTTCCAGCATGAAGCTTCTATGGGATTAGCTTGTCTTCGGTTCCTTCAGTAATCCTCACACTTTATTGATTCTGGTGTCATTGCATTTCTAATCTTATTTCCTTTTTCATAAAGGTCCATCATATTGCTACAGCCCAAAAGATGAGGGCCTATGTTCTGCCCATGTGACTCGTTATCATTTTAATCCAAGACACAAAGCCTGTGAGCCCTTTGCCTACACTGGCTGTGGGGGGAACGACAATAACTTTGTTAGCATGAAGGATTGCAACCGCGTTTGCGTAAAAGGTAATGAATTTTTCTTATTCCATTGTTAAACTAACTTTATAAATAATTCATAAGCAAAACTATATTTTATGTATCCATTTTACTAACAGCATACTGCCATTACTAGATGACGTCTACATCAACAGCACTTTAGTACTGATTGGTTTGTGACAATGCTTAGGCTGGCTAGCCGCAGTAGACAGTATGTAGCCTTGTGTTTTAAAGATAAATTATTTCTAACTGAGTGGACAGTGAGTAAAATTGACTTTATAATCATTAAAACTTCGATGAGGTAAGTTTGTAAGCATGTTGAAATGGTGATTTACAGTGAACCTACAGATTGATGTGATGTTTATTTTTACTTTGTTGACGTGTAGGCTCGAAGAAGAAAAAGGATAAGAAGATACCAAAGTTTCTCTTTACCAATAGGAACCTGAAAATTCAGAAGAACCAATTTTAGCCATTCTTTTTTTGGATATTACCTTGTGAATGCTATTGCCTTTATGGTTATATCTGAAGAAGAATATGGTAACATGAGTAAATGAATCACTAGTGATTTATTCACCAGTTTTTATTGATCAAAGTTACTTTTTAAAAATGTAGTCCATTTTTACACATCATTAGCTGCTACTCAAATGTGAATCTATTATTTTTCATTTACTGTTCAATGACTTTTTATGGGTTTGAATTCTTGCTGTGCATAAGATATAAAAGTAAATATGACTCACCCAGTTGTTGGGGTTGCTTTTCTGATTTCAGACAATGATAGTAACTGAAAAACATAAGACAATGAAATCATGTTTTTTTAACCCATATGATCGTAAAAGGGGTCAGCAAATACATTTCATTTTGCATTTAAATGTTAGATTACATTTGGGGCCCAAGGTGACAAACTTGCAGATTTACCAACAGTTTAAAAAATATTACAATTGCTGTTATATAGACACTAACTTACTTCCATTGTTGTTGTGTCATTTAAAAGATAATAAAATTTTGACTGAATTAAAAAGGTGGTAAATTTATTAAAATTAGAAATGTTCTCAGGGGGAAAATATTCTCTCTTTGTCTCCCTTTATCTATTCGCCCATCTATCCATCCATCCCCACAGGCATGTATATGGTTTTGTATACATATAGATAGGTGGCTTTTAATAGTTTTCCTGTTACATTGTTTCCTAAGACTAATGGATTGGAGACCGCTAAAGCTGATAAAATCTTTCGACTGTTCAAGATGTTGATTTACATCACACCAGAGACTATTAAATTTAATAATTTAAATTCTACTAATAAGCTATTCTTGATAAACATGATCATTTTAAACAGTTTCTGCTTTCTCTGTAATAAAAAGATATTTAAAATTCCTACATTTTCTTGACAAGATTAATATGTTTAAAAGCATGCCCCTGATCTAGCAAAATTATAAATGCATTTGCCCTTTGCTTACGCAATCCCTCTTTAAAAAATCTATCCCAAAAGTATTTTGCCAAAAATACAAAATGGTATACACCTGAGGACATTCACTGATGTATTATTTGGAATAACTCATAACCGGAAACAAACCAGATGCACATCAAGGGATTGGGTGAAGAAATTATGGATAAGAAATGAGCAAAATATTTATATATGGACATCATTTGATCATCAGAATACATTAAGGAAAACAGGTTTTAGGGCAATATATATAAACACATAAACACACACAAACAAATCACAGAAGGTATAAAGATATTAAAAACAGTTGCCTATTGGGGAGGGAGGAAACAGGATTAGATAGGTATGGAGATAAAATTTATGCGAATGTACCTTGCTATATAGTTTTGACCTTGGACCATGTAAATATTTTACATACTTAAAAACCAAAATTAAATAAAAGGAATAAAAAGCATTCTCTCCAAAATTGGAAGCAAACCAAAATAATTGAACCCAAATGAATATCAAATAGTGGCATAACTACACAAAGGATACATGATTACTTCCAGTGACTTTCAAAACAAGTATTTTGATTACGTATCTTTTGGAGGATATACTCTAAAGCAGCCGTTCTCAACCTTCCTAATGCCGGGCGACCCCTTAATACAGTTCCTCATGTTGTGGTGACCCCCAACCATAAAATTATTTTCATTGCTACTCTATAACTGTAATTTTGCTACTGTTATGAATCGTAATATAAATATCTTTTTGTTTTCCAATGGTCTTAGGCGACCCCTGTGAAAGGGTCATTCAACCCCCAAAGGGGTCGCGACCCACAGGTTGAGAACCGCTGCTCTAAAGGGTCAACTAAAATCTGAAAATGCATTTAGTAGCCTTACTGTCAGTCATTGATATTGTTATTTTGAAACTAACATATAGAGAATACTATCTTATATATTCTGTAAGGAAATATAAAGACATTTCTTTAGAAATCAAGATTTTCATTGTTAAGAGTAAAAGAGATATAAGTATAAAATTAAGAAATTGAGAAAGAACCTCTAACTTTTAAATTGAAATTACAAATATTTGTATGAACTCAAAATTTTATTTTTTCTCTTTCCAAAAAATATGTATTTTTTACCCCTCCATTCAAAGTCCTTGAATCAATTACAACCCAGTAGCAGTAAATACACCTACCATCCAAATTGTGACCTGTAAATATTATTTCTCACCTAAAGGAACTGGGGCCAGGGCTCTTAGGAGAAATAATGCTGAGTCCAGGTCTGGAACGGGGCATATGTAAGGTGAACCTGGACAATCTTACCCAGAAAGCAAAGGAGCTATCAAAGACTAACAAATCATGTCACAAAAATGGAGAGTAACATTAAGGGGCTTCTACTGACCTAAAATGAGACCATCTGAGCAGCAAAACAAATAATGACCACAATATATGTAAGTATATAAATATGAATATAAAATGAATTCATAATTACACACACATGCCTCCTTGGTCACTTTTTGAGGTTGCTAGCGCACTCTCATTGCTTTGAAAACTGATAAATTAACAGAAAGAATAAAGCATTTATTCTTTCTTTTTTTTTTATCCTTTCAAAACTTTACACAAGGAAACTAAATAGTGGTGAGAGAAAGTAACTCATAGAAGAATCCCACCTAATACATGCATGAAAATGTTAGAAGATAGCCCTAATGAAAGTCTGTAAGTAACAATTACCTGTGGATATAGAAATCATGGCATGAAAAGTTTATGGGGAACAGTGTTCTGGAAGAATCAGGCAAACGTCTCTGAACTCGTGGATAACTTGAATATCATTAAAAGTGTGCCAGCAGACATTATTTGCTGTCTAATATGATATAATAAGAAGTGCATACCCCGTCCCCATGAAGTAATCTTGCAGAAAGAAATAAAGAAAAAATTGAACCTGAAATTAGTTAAGCCTCTAGATCTTATTATCGTATTGCCAGATTTTAAGGCCGTATTGGAAAGGAAAAAGTAGAAACCAGGAGAAGTTGACAGTCAAATCCATAATATAGGCCACTCTGCAAGACAAATAGCTCAGTTTTTCCAGCAAACCAATGAAAACTTTAAAAAAAGGGGGAAGGGGAGGCAGTGCTTTTACAGACCAAAAAGCAGCATGTCATTATAAGGTTTTTGGTTGAGTAAGGCCTGTATTTATAACTGTTTTTGGTGGGTTTTGAGAATGATTACAGCAGAAGGATCTTGTGTGTTCTCTGGAGTTATCAGGTAAGTGATATAGAGCCTTTGGAAATTTGGGAAGATTCTTAGTGACACAGGAAAACTTGATTTGGTATTTGCTGCCTATAAATCCCCTGTAGCCAAAGACCTTAGGTGATCATGGACCCCACTCAGTCTACAGCTGCCGATTTTATTTCAATGAAGAAACAAAGGTGTTGTAGGATATTCGCTGTCGAGGGGAAATTCCTTTTTTGCTACAATCTGCTTGAAGACAAGTCACTACTGTGGTTTCACCAGACAGCCTTATTGAAAGGAATGTCTCATTCTGGGACACAAAAAGGCAAAAAAAAAAAAAAAGAATGAGCTGGCTTTAAATAACAGTCTTTAACTGAAAAAAAAAAGTTACCTTGGACCACTCATGCCTCCTTTATGCACACACATTGTCTTGTCGCATGTTCAGCCGTAGGAACTGCAATAGACCCTTCAAGGCTGCCTGGCTCACAGAACCTCCAAGGACACATCTCCCCCAAAAGTCCTGTGGACATTTAGCTAACAATATTACCCAGTGACGGAATGTTTGTCCCTGTATTGTAACAGCGGCTGTAGAAATTCCAGCTGTGGTCCATCCAGAGATAAGTCTCTGACGTGTCCCCAGGGAGTGCAGCTGGAAAATCAACATCAGAAGGATGCCTATTGGTTTTTCTTTGGAGCCCTTATGACCTTGAGGACTCCATTATAGTAGCAGGAACCTATCTTTGCGAGCTTCATGTTCTCATAAAACACAGGTCTTGAGATTAAAAACAAGGAAAAGTAGAATAGTGCAGAGTTCTAGCTTTAACATATTCTTTTTCTATATACTCTGTTATAAACTTAGAGATAGAGGCAAGCAAAGGTAGAATTCAGAATCATCCCAAATTATTTCTCTTTTCAATTAGTCACCAAGTCTATCTATTGAAGTCTATTCTAATCTTTCTTATCTTATTCTAGGGAAATTAAAGCATTCTCCCAAGTTTTCTTTCTGCGTATGTCTACTCCATATCCAATCATCCACAACGATGCCAGGGTACTCTGTCTGAGAAAAAAAATTATTGTTTCTCTGCTTAAAACTCTTCAGTGGCATCTATTGAATCTTCGCATTACTGTCCAAGCCCCTAATGTGTCACTGAAGACTTCTTACAAGCAGACCATGACATTCCTCTCCAGATTCAGGCCCCCATTTCATCATCACCTATAACCTACAATTCAGTTGGACTAAATTATGTTCCGTTTCTAAACCATGTCATACTGCTTGATTTTTCTATAATGTGGTTATTACATTACAGGATCATCTGGGGAGCCAGGCACACTGCAGCAACTATGCCCCATGCCCAGGGTTTTGATTTAGAGGGTTTGAGTTGGTGTACATTATAAACGAATGGTTCCAGATGATGAGGATGTATACTTTATCACACTTTGAGGACCACTGTTTTATGCCTCGGCATCAGGAATTTTTGTGTTTTTTTTTTTCTCACTGCCACCGCAAGCCTGCCACCCCCTGGTTCTGCAACTTCTACATCTCGTCACCCTTCCAATGCCCCAATAGACTTTGATCTACCAGGCCTCAGACTCCAGCTGGGGTAAAACCCTCCTTTTCTTGGAGTAACATTATCTGTATTTCACCAACTGTAGGAGGCCATTACACTCTCCTGTCTTTTGGATAATCTTCATATCCTTTCCTCAGTTACATGTAAATTGAAATTTGTGTGTTCCCTTTCTGTTAGTTTTGCTCTAGATGTAGGCATCGGTGGTTTTATTAGATTTCCTTATGGATCTGTACTAGTCTTTGGAGGGTGTGTGGAGTGATTACTATTTAAATATCCAAATTATCCTAGGAAAATCTAAAAATTTTGTTGAAACTAAAATAATATTTTGTTTTAAAAACTATAGATGAGTTTTTCTTTTCTACTTTTTATCTTACTTTGATTTTTATATTTCATATCTCTTAATGCATACCAAATATAAATTATATGTTGACACCACCTTCAGAGCCTAAGTGCCTTAACCCATGAATGCATTTGTAACCTTATGTTTCCTAGTATTTGATGCAAATATATTCTTCAGCAAAGATACAAATTGATATAGTCCTGGACTACCCGGGGC